TGTGTGACAGTGTCAGAAACTAAACTAAACATTTATATTGTGCGCGACAATAAAGTTGAGATACGCTCCTTACGAAGTCAATAGATCGAAAACACACTTTGACTCCCGCTAAAAAATTAAATTATGGTCTTAGTATAATCAAAATGCACACGATGAAAGACAAAAGAAAAATGAGAGAATATCAATATACCAATTGTTTCCTCAGAACTTCGAGCAATTATGTTAGTTTTTCCTGAGGAATCGAATTATTCATTTTCTCCTCAAGAGAATTAAAAACTCTAACGCGCATACGTGTATGAAAAAGGATTATTGCTGAGAGGAATATAAAGTGAAACATCTAGCAATTATGCTGAATCGATATCTGCCTCGGAACTTCGCGGAGGACCGAGGAGTAGATACAAATTAGCGAAGTTGAACGGAGCTTAAAACCAGAGGAATTACTAAATCTCCTTCAGGACAAGAATTGCTTGGCGGCGATCCCAACATCGACCCGAAGCAATCCGCTAGAACTTCCTGAACAGACTTTAACGGTCACAAGACACGCCAACTTACATTAAAACATACTTAGTCAATGAATATCCTGTGATTAGAGACGATCGAGTAATAACGATAATAACGACTCCACTCGGCTCGGCTTACAATTTGGCTATTCACCAAAGTAGTTTAAAATTGACTTAACTCCTCGGCTGATTAATTTTATCGTCTATTCACCGATCGAGACGATATTTCGCCCGATGTGGTTGTTTAACCGTACTATTCGCCATCATCTAGTCGTCGGCGGCGACTCCAAGAAAATTTATGAGTTTTTAATTAAGATCAATTTTCGCGGAAGAGAGTGTGTAAGGAAAGTAATAACATTCAAGATAAAAAGGGCGTCAAAGAACTTTTCATAATTTTGTTCGTGGATGTATATAATAATTTTGTAGGTCATCGTCACGTTGTATAAATAGGAGAGGTTCTCCTTTTAACGATTCCTTGCTTCATTATAATATCCGCGCGCAACTATTGCTCTTCACACAAACGTTTTAACTTCAATTTTCGTTTTTAACTTCAATTATCTAGAAGCCCCGAGAACAATTGATATTCAACTTGAAATTTCGCTCTCGATTTGTTACTCTCTCTAATGGACTTAATTTATGCAGGCAGGAGGGAGAGGAGGAGGAGGGATGGATCAAACTTACTGAATCCTTCAACGGTTCATTTATCTCGTAATATCGCGCATGACGATCTTCTTCCAAGAACTTATCTCTCATGACTTGTTGATCCGAAAAACAAAATGAATAATGAAAGCGGAATTTCACACGGGTCTCGAAATCCGTCTTGAATAATGGACATCGTTTTACATCCACATCGAGCGGACCGACAAATGTAAAGTTTCCGTAAAATCGCACAAAAAATAAGCTGAAGAGATTTATAGGACAGAACGAGAAGGATGCTGGCAAAGTCTTCTTACGCAATAAACTAGGATCTCAATCAGACAATGTCAGGTGCGCTAAGAAGATTCGCTCAGAACGAATAGAAATCAACAATTGCACACAACCAACATACGAATTTGCGCTTGGATAATTGAATTTGACAATGACATCGTTCTCTCGAAGCATTTTTCGAATATATCATTATAATGCAAAATAATCTGCCATGTTTCTCGCATTTAAATCACTCGAGCGTCCTTGGGAGAGTAATAACTGCTGAGCCTCCGTAGGCCGGTGAGGTCTCAGTTATGAAAGACGTGATTGATCGATAGCATACCGAGATCTTCGGCAATGCGACGAACGGTAGTAGCACATGACAGGTACTTAGAATCTCGGGATTAACGAGCAACAAAGTTAGCCGGCTCGGCACTTCAACGGCCGACATCTCGATCCTCGCGCGAGAGGGAAAGGGGTAAGAAAAGAGTAATAAGCGCATGATTACATCTTTTAGAACAGATGCGACACGTTGATCGATTTAATCGAATTAACGGCGTAGGGTAGAGCTACGAGGGTTCTCACATTTGCGCCTCGCGGCTTTGTTCCTGCTGTAAAATCGCGATTGAATTATGGGACTTCACGAGCTGGCAAGTACAGCGCGAATTAGAAACCCAACACACTGCCGTGCCCGATGCAAGCAAATAAGTTCGTGTTGTAACTCACTACGTGTCGGGGGAACTTATGTCACGCCCTTCAAACATCTACAATGGCGTTCATTCTCGTTGAAGGACGCTGCATTATATGCGAGCTTGAGTTGGTTAAATGTTTTTGAGTAAATGCGCCTATTTTTATCTTGCAATCGATAATAATATTTTAGCTGCAGTGTACACACCACATGCGGGGTGAGTCACGTAAAATTAAATTCTAAAATCTAACTTTAATCTCTGTTGCTTTTTTATATCAGAGGAAAATATGTAGGAAATAAATTGCGCGTTGGGAGAATTGGCTGACCATAATATTTATCCCTCCTAATCACACACACACATACATAGAAAGAAAAGAAGATATCGTGCGCGCAACCAGAAATATTTAGTTGTGAGCAGCACAGTTGTATCATCCCAATTATCTTTGTATGATAGTAATGATGTAATATTAAGCCAGTTGATTTTTTGCTTTTTTGAGGTGCTTTAGTGTGATTTTGGATATTTTAAAGAAAAATGATCTCCCACAAGATCTATCCTCGGAATAACATTCTATGTTTTACTTAATTATACGGTTGATATAATTCAATTACTTTAGTACTTCAACTACATCAATATAGTTGCGCGCGATCTGGTTCTAGCAACTAGAAATCAATCAGGGTGACATGGATACACTCTAGGCCAACCATACTGTCTTTTTCGTGCACAATCACACATTTCCCTTTAATATAAAAAAACAACAGAGATGTTTTGGAATCAAACGTTAGGTGACTCACTCTGTGTATCTCATGAATCTCGTTGAGTGGGTGTAATCGTGGTAGTAATGGGCACTATATAGCAATATTTATCTGGGGATTGTACTGAATTAATTTTTCCGCATTTACACTCGCCGTAAGATGGTCGAAGAGGGAGGTACACGCGCTTTAATTAAACTTAAACGGAAACAATACGAGAAATAGCAAGCGCAGGAAATTCTCGGGAAAGTTTCGCGACTTTTAATCCGGACAGTTTAAATACGTTCTCTCCGGGGAGGAGTAAAATTTAATCTTTCGCCGAGATAATGTTACTGGTGCGTCTTCCAGAAGACTCTTTTATAAAAGCTGCCTCTGTAAAGTAACACCTCGGCGTACTCATCGCAGTGCAATTATTCCCAATCTGCGAAACAACAGCGCGAATGTAGAAATAAGCATTATTTGACACGCAATAACGTAAGGTCGAGCTGTATACAATAATAGCCTTAACATTTTATAGTTCCAATTGATAAAAATTAATTATTACGAGGAAGCGATTTCGTCAAAGCAATCAACAGTTATTACGCAAAGATACGTACACACTGAGAAAAAAACAATGACTAATCTAAATAAAATTATAGTTATTTTTGGTTTTAACCATATTTCATAGTTATTCAGAGAGAATTTTGTAATCAGAAATTACTATAGGATTTTGTGACCGAGGAATAAATCGACATTCTGCAGTAATTCACTTTATTCTTTCATATGTGTTACTTATATTTTAAGAACTGAAATATATTATTAAAACACTTGCTACGTTTCTTGCAAAATTTATATATAATATTTTAGTAGAATTATATTTTATAGTAACATTATAGTAGAATTTAATTAAAAAATAGTTTTCTTGGCCGTAATTTCTAGTAATTGGTTCCAAATGTGATTATACTTATAAATATTAAACATTGTGCACACAATGCGCGTAATCGGGAAATTTGTTTTTGCAAAATGTTAAGGCTCTTATTCCGGATTGCACGTTCAAGTCCACTCGAATGTTAATGTACTTTCATTCAAATCGAGTATACGTTCGCTGTTCCATCCTATTTAAATTGAATAATGGAGAACTGACAATCGCGAAATTCAACGATGTCAGGAGTAATATCCGTGGAGGTAATACATTTGAAAAACAAAGGATACATTAAACAGTCAAGTCTGTGTAATATATTTTTGTTTCATCATAAAACCAGCGTAATTTAATTGATCACGATTCGTTGCTTGAACGGTCATTTGTGAGAAGCGATTATTTTAATTACATATCGATCGGATTAAATATCTCGGATAAGTATGGACGCAATAGTTCAGCGATGCAGTTCAGAGCTTTCGCGAAACTGAAAGACGCTGTCGTGATGTTTGCGTAACGGACGTCGGGCCGTGTACGGGCTTTTCGCGGTGGAGTCGTTGTCAGAACCCAAGTCGAAATTTTGGTTCTACATTAATCCAGTAAATATCGTCGAATTTGAAATGGAAATCACACGCAAACCATATCCTCGAGCAACAAACTCGACAGGCGCATATTTTCACAATACGCGTATTTCAGGATTATACCTAAACGTAGTTCAGGATTATTCCGCGCACAAGGATTAATTTTATATTTTCAAGCTGCGTTTAGATTTGGAGGTTTTGGGGAAAACTGGTATTTCGGGAGAACCTCTAATACAGATTTGTGATATGTGAGATCGTTTGACACGTTAATTTTAGTCGAAAGCTGGAGGTAGATAATTCACAGTTTCTATTCGTATCTTAACGAGATGTCTACCGAGGCTCGCGCAACACTGTTGTTCTTCCATTGGCAAAGAGTAATATTATTAAATGTCTGAAGGAATTCTGTAATGATATTTCACTTTGGAGCTTTAGTTTCACGGCCGTCGTTATTGGATGAGAACTTCCTCTGCGTTTGAGCGAAAGCCGTAATATCAGTAATGAGAGTTGCATGCAAAAGCTCACACGTCACAATTGTATCATTACATTGCACCGTCCCGCATTCGCCGTAATGTTATCGTCGAGATCTCGTCATAAAATAGACGATATTGTGAGAGCGGGTGTTATTTACAAATCAAAACCAGACAGACACAAACGGCTACTGTACAAAGCGACATTTAATTTATCAGAATATATATCTTATTACACATTCACACAATATACAGGTTATTAAATCGGAATGTATCCGCTTTGTGGAATCGATGCCGACTTGCATGCACACTCGTGGATCTGCGCTGTCGCGACCGGTCTTTTTTGCGCGAGGATTTCAATCGACCCTGTGTTTGCTACTCGCGGATGAGTAGAGAGTTAAAAAACACGAAAGTTCATTCTCCGTGGCCGGATCGCGGATTCATAAGAGCTCGTTGACGGGCGAGTGAGCGAGCTTATAAGCGTCGATAATCGATACATTTCAGCGACAGTTCATTTCATTCGGAATGTCTCTGGAAATGAAAATCCTCGATTACAATAAAGCCTCAGGCGAATCACGCAGCGTCGCGATTCCGCGTTTTTATGTCTCTTCTCTTCTCTCTCTCTCTCTCTCTCTCTCTCTCTCTCTCTCTCTCTGTTTATCTCCCCCTCTCCTCTCTCTCTCTCTCTCTCGTCCAATCTTTTTTTTTCGTACTCACTTATTCCTTCTGTTCGCCTAGCAGCATTTGAATTCTTTACACACCTCTCATTTTATACCTGCGACACGACGCTCTCCCTCCGAAAAGTATAATTTCTCTCTTACCGGCATTCCCTTAAGATATTCCTCGCCGTCGAATCCCGCGAGCGAGAGTAATCTTCTATACGAATATATTATGAGACCTCTTTTCTTCGACGCGTCGAAGCTCGTCTCCATAGTTTGCACGGAGACGTGTGCACACTAGGTCTGTGCGAAATGGTTCTGAGATGCTATTACTGAACTTATTCGGAATGGATCCCGACCGGAATAACTTCGTTTTCTCTGGAAAACACAACATCTAAGGAATAACTGAATTATTCCGATCGAAATCCATCCGTAATGGGCATCCCATTTTCTGAATTCGGTGTAAGTAATGGTTACATTGAATAGTCGACTCCTAAATTAATGCGCGAATCGCTTCAAATTACGTTCAGATCGCGCGGAATAGTACTCCGTTTATTTATATAGTTATATGTGTATGTGTTACAATTATGTACATATAGGCTGCGTTTCTTTTGGGCGCTCATTGTAAGCGTCATTCTATCTGTATCGTTCATTTGATGCGGAAGAAAGATAGAGTGACGCTTATAAGCACTTAAAGCACGTGAGCGCCCAAAAGGAACGCAGCCATAATATGACATAACAAATGAACGAAGTATACCATTCCGCGCCACTCAAACGGCTACTTGAGCCGATTCACGCATTGATTTTTAAGTCGTTTATTTCAACGTGACGATTGTTTGTAATTTTACGCAGCCGTAGTGCATACACGCCGGCGTAAACACACACACACACACACACACGTACACATGCACGCGCGTACGCGCGAATACTTTCCTCTCTTTTTTTACACAAAGTTACAAGCTCGATGAGTTCTCTTCGGGAGAGACACGATGTGCAGTTTTCTTTCAGAAACAGCACTTTGGTCTGTTTATCCTACCGAGAGTTTATCCTCGCTCGACCCGTTGGTGAGGTAGCCCGCTTTGATCGGTGCAAGCACACACAGGTGCAAGCGCTTATATGAGATAAACGCAGTCGGTTGGGAGCCTGAGAGAATCTCCAGGGCACATCTCGTTCTTTTTGTCGGCGAGATGAGCCGACGGGTGTCCGTTAAGTATCGTCCCTCTTTACGACGCGTCGAGGATCTTCCGAAGGAACTCACGTGCCTCCACGCTCTTCGCTCCTCACAGTCGCGTTTATCTTTCCCGCAGGTGTCCGCGCGACACCGTCGTCGCGTTAAATCCGAGAGAGGAATCGTTTGTCACGTAAATTCGCAAAGATACATAATCCCTCTAATCTCGTCGAGATTTCCGCGAGATTTCCGCGAGATTATTTATCTACTGTGTACTCCCGTTTATAACGGCAGCGCACAAGATCACACTACGTTCGCGTACTCGGATAAGAGGCGACAAGGACCCGAATGGCTCGTGTTACCTTGTTACGAGCTCGCGACAACGAAGCCCAACGTTCAATCCGACGGTGACTGATTAACTAATTAACTTCGCGAATCCTCACGCGAATATAATCACACGCTCTCATGACGTCACAGTGCATAACAGTCTTCGTCGAATCTCTTCAGCTCGCACTCAGAGAAGAATCGCCGACTAGGGGTCCAGTCGTGAGCGCGAGTTTGCAAGATTTGCGTGAACAACGCTCGCAGCAACAAAAGCTGCTAAACGTCTCGATCCCTCGCTAAGCGCTTCGCACCCTTTTTAATGGCACCGACATTTCTTTAGTTTCCCCACTGACACATTTCGTAGCTTCACTCGACGGGGGCGTCGCTCAAACAAGGCTCTCCGAAAGAGGACTCGGCTTCTTCTCCCGACGACAAATGTGTCCTCTGGGGAAGAAGCTACGGCACGTTCTTCTCCGGTAATGGCTTCTCAGTGTGGAGCAATTCGCATTCGCGTGCGAATACGCTAATCCGGACCCGTCAGCATCGTCGCGCATACACAATCGGGACGTCAGCTTCTTGTCGAGTCTGTGAGCGCGTGCGACCCTTGCGATTCCATAACGATCCTTCCATCCGCCGGCAGGATAAGCCGAGGATCAGATACACGTCTCGCTCGTCATCGCCGGTGCGCCGTCCGTCTTCTCGGCTGATCGGCACTTGGTCCTGCCGTTGCTCGAGTGCACAACGAACGAGGATCTGCGCGAATCCTGCGACTCTGTGGCGATCGTGATGTCGGGAACGAGGTGGTCACAGGGCCTGTCCTTCGAGCCCTGACTCTCGCCGTCTTCGTCATCGTGACGTAACTTCGCCGGCGAACGGAGAACCTCGTTCGCGTGCATCTGATTGCATCTGATTGGGAAATCACGGTCTCGTCTCAGTATCGGGGAATTAATTGTCATCACGAAGTTATTAAACGCTAGAAATTAAAATACGTCGCTAAAACGAAGAGCTTATTTTCAGAACGTCTTAAATCTTTATCGTCACCGAGTGGAAACTGCATTCGGCTGCGAAAAAAACTGCGTCCGAAATTAACGCTTCTAAAATTACCCGCCGTTCCGTCCACTGTGTAATTCGCTGTTTTCAAAAATGCGGTTCCGGATCGATCTGGAAGTAAATCTTCGGGAATAATGTACCTAACAGAAATTTAATTAACGTAAAATTAATAATTTAATTAACAGTCTATCATAAATCCGTTTTTTCGTAACCAACAAACAAAATAAAGAATGAGTGACAGTTTAGACATTTGAAAATTAGTCCATCTGTGAAAAGCTTCGTGATCTTTCTACGGTACATTAATGCAATGTAGAAAGAGATCGTAGAGAATTCGAGCGTTTCTTTCGAGTATTAAGAGAAGACAAGTGGGGTTTGGATGAATGGAAGTGAATGGATCCTTGATTAATGTGTTGCGTGAGTTTGTAATGACTTCAGTGTATTGAGTTAAATATGAGAAATCAGATTGTTAGTTGATGCAAGGTGAAGCAGATATATAGGAAGAGAAGAGAAAGGCAGAGAAGAGGAATTACTTAATGGAGTTAGTAGAAAGTATAGAGTGGAGTAATGAACTATAACAAGATATATGGGAGGAAATTGGGGGAAAGAGGAAAAAGAGGAAATAAAGAGAACAATGAGGAGATCGAATAGGTACCAAGGGATAAGTGTGTACAACTGAAGGAAAGGACAGAGTTTGGAATATTGTTGTATGAGGATGAAATATAGTACCCGTTGAGCGAAATAGGAAAATATAATTAGACATGATAGATCTTGGCTATGTAAGCTGAAGGAAAGTATACTGATAACAGACAATAAACAGATGCTTACCTGATACTACGTTGATAATGTATACTTCTGACGCGAACCACCTGGGAGCCTCTTCTGGAGCTGCAGCCACATGCCGTGCTGTCCTTCATACTGCTGAGGTCATCCCTTGTGATGGAGGGACTCGCCGGCGTGCAATACAAGGTTTTCTTGAACGCCATCCTGTATTTGGCGCTCATCACGTTGTACAGGATCGGATTCACGGTGGTGCTGAAGTAATATAGGCAACCGCCCAAAGGATACAGCCACTCATTAATATCGCCAAAGGCCGACACTTGATACACGTACAACAGCCGTTGAGCGTGAAAAGGCGCCCAGCAGATAAAAAATGTTATCACGACCGCACCTGTGGAATGAAGGCATCGGTATTTTTCACACAGCCGTTTCATTGTCGGTCCGGGGATAAGGGAGGATCAATGGGTAGGCAAGGAGGATTATAAAAAAATGATGAAACAGAACCTCGAACCCTCCATGTGAGGACGCAACTTAAAGGTACTTTGTGTTTTGATACTCTGCGTGTGAAACTGTCACATGTGATATGTTACATGTTCCAACTGTTTCCTGATATACGGCTACCCATTGCGAATGCAAATGCTATGGAAATGCGGTTTCATTGGTTTCTTGCGCATCAATTACGGTAATGTATTCGCGCGTGATAAAAAATACAAACTCCCTGTGCCGGTACTCTAAAAATAACGTAAAAAAGATCACATTTGCGGAAACGTTGCGCAGTTTAATTTATATTGTCAGCGAGTATTTCCCAAATGGTTTGCAGAAAGAAAGGCGCGCAACGGCGAAATTAAAGACTGTATAATTAACGAGAGACTTTGTTTGCAGAGAGAAATAAACGTGCGACGCTTGCAAGAGAGGGATTGGCAAACGAAATGGCGAAGCGCAAGAACTCGTGGTGATTTGTACGCCACAATTCATTATATCGTTGCGCTTGATTGCGCCAACAGCGCCGATATTATACGTGAACCGGCGAATTTACGTTGATACTTTACGTGGAATCTTACAGGTTTTACTCAGGCCGCGTTATCTTCGCGTTCTAAGAAAACATAAAATCGAACCGACCCGATGATTAATCGATGCGACGTGTATACGACGCTCCTATCTTCGCGAGGAATATTCAGCGCGGCGTTTTGCAAGCGCGAATGCAGAGAGGTAATGCCGATTGTCACGACAATTGATGGCACTTACGCAAAACGAGAATATTTTTCCAGTCAGGATAATAAAAACCAGAAAGAGAATCAGAAAAAGGTGATTGAATTCCGGTTAATTTCGATTGACGTTTACTAAACTAGATTTGGCAAGTTCGTTAATCGAATCGAGGCTGACTTGATTCGATGGCGGAACGATATTGCGAGTCATCTGTCGCTGATGAAAGTCACGTCGAGTGTGAAAAAATTTCTCTCTAAAAATCCCATCTATATATTTTGCACGCGCCATTCATCGTTCTCGCGTGACTACCGAGTGTATGCGTCCGCGTGAAAATCTCATATTTATTTTTTAAAATGCGGATTTATTCTCCCGACGAGATCGGACCTTTTCTTCAGCGTGTTCAGCGAGAAATTGGAAACACTCGTGGTTTGGGCGGGATCTCTTTTTACATATGGTCAGCGGGACTTTCATCCCTTCTGCGGACGCGTTTTTAAAGAATAATTCTTCTCTCTCTATACACACACACACACATATGTACACCGGCGTTTGCAACACACTTTTGCATAGCGCGCGCTATAGAATAACATTACTCTTTTGGAATAAATCAAATCTAAAGGTAGATCTAAAGGGAGATCTAAAGGGAATAAATCAAAAAGGGAACGAAACTTTAAGTCACCCTTTAAAACCTATAAATTGCCTCAGTTAGATTGTAAGTGATCAAACATGTGATTTGCAAAGAAAAAAGGAGAACTTTCGTGTCAGGTGAATCTGTTATGTACGCAGCTGTTTTGAGATTGAGCCAATTTTGCAAACGACGTCGACATGGAAGTTAACTAAAATTAGGTCACTGCGTTATTCAATGAAACCTCAATATCTCTGCTATGGCGCGCGCTTGAGAAAATGAAAATCATGCGGTTACGTTGTGAAATTTTGACGTGTCCATAATAGCTATTCTTGCTTAGCAGCACTGTGTGTCGCTCTCGCAAAATATAGTTACCTGTACTAGTTTGGTAAATTTTTAAGATATTGTATGCCGGTATAAAACAATAGGTATAATGTAGAAAAAAAATCACATGACGAAGCTGCCCATTACGAAATGAACGAAAACACGATTCATTGGCCGATATTCACAGCCGCGCAAAGTTTCTGAATTTTCCACTTGAAACTTTAAAAATCTGACTTGTCAGTTCTACATAGTCACAAATATCAATTTTAAGAGGATTCGCAAGATTGGTTCGAAATGCTGTGCGGCTTCGAAGGAATATTATTCGAAAAGTAACTCACGACCATTTCGCGACGAGTCTTTAAATAGTCTGTTTAATTTTATTCCGCGAGCAATGGCAACAGGAAAACGAGTGGACAAATAATGAAAGACTCCATCGTGCGCTGTTTATAACGGAACGATATAAAATAAAATGCTGCCGGCCTGAGGGTGTAAAATGAAACGCGGTCGAAATAAAAATGGAGCGGGAGCGGTACGATAAATTCGATAGGATGCGTTATGGGTTGCATGGACGGTCGGTGGGTGAGTGTGGGTGGGTGCACCCGCTCGTGTATATGTGTCTGCACGAATGTGTCTAGTCCGAAAAGACGGAAATTTACTGAGCATTCGGATGATGGCTTTTCGAGATTGAGCCTGCCTCGTTTCTCCGTGAACGGAACCCTCGATGCTGCGGCCGAGACCATTGCTTTGTATTCGGAGACCCATTCTCACGTAAAGCACTGCTATGGACAGCATGGGCACGAGGAAGAATATGAGGCAACTGAGCTCGTAAAGCGGAAACTTGGGCATATTAGGCAGTAGCATGGCGCACATCGCCGATTCTTCGGAATAGCGGCCGGATTCTGAGAACAAATGTAAAGAACACTTCTTAACTAGTACGAGATCATCCTCGTCCTGTTTCCTGTTATGACGTAATAACATAAGTCTTGCAAAGAGCGAGCGTTTCAAGCGAGATTAGTGGGATTTTCTCTCGCTAAGTGGCGTGCCGATTTTTGCGTGATGTCAAATAGTCAACACGTCCACTATCAGCATCACACATGTGTAACACGCCGATCTCTCACTTCCACAAGTTCACCTTTACTCTAAATTTTTTATTTTACTAGCATATTCACGCGCTAACAGCGTATAACAACGATATTTTTTTGTATTTTCGTATATAAACAAACCAAGTCTGTTTTTCAGAGAATGTAATCCATTGGACGCAACGAACAATTTGAAGCACTTAAAAAAGCTATGATTGATCCATATAGAGGTTTAAAATATTACGTGAAAAGAGATGTAACATGGCTTGTGGAGAGAATTCGCCAGATAAATTGTGGTAGCGAACGTTTTAAGCTACAAGTACCAATACCTGGATACGTATCCAACTTTGGACATTCTTAATATTTTGCTCTTTAAAGACGAATATTTAGGCTTTTAACATAGAATATTTATACATATTGAATATATATATATATATATATATATATATATATATATTCTATATATACGCTAATAACTTAAATATTCGTATTTAAAGATAAGATAATAATATTCCAGGTTCTTATCATTTAGAATATATAAAATTAATTTCACACGCTATGGTTTGCTCGTTCTCGACGAGTAAACGAGAGTGAATGAAATTATAAAACGAGGCATTTAAATAAAAATATTCGTTGCTTCTAATAAGGTGATCCTTGAACATCTTTTCTTTTCTTCTTCTTTCTTTTCGTAGAAAATAATATTTATCATTTATGATGAAGAGTGAAATGAATAATGAAGAGTTAGCAATCGATAAGTCAATGTTATTAATGTATCTTTTGAATCTGACAGATTTCACGGAACGTCCTTTATTAATTAAATATACCGAAATATAAATCCCACCGCAAATGGAATATCAGCTACGTATTACAGCTATCAGATTAAAAGCTTTAGATTCTATCAGCGCGAGGGTCCTGTAACATTTTCTAACTGATTAATTCGGATTTGGATAGCCACTTATCTCCGTGCTGTGCTGTATGTGAAATATATTTGAACATTTTATCTCGGATTTTGCCGCATGTGCAGTTTAATGTGATAATTTACGCATTTTTTGATCATGTGGCGCGCGATTTAAAAAAGCTGTTGTCGCGATAAAATTCGCAAAATATACATAAATATACATAAATATTTCGCAAGAATATCGATGAAAAAGACATCGGAAAAAATTTGAAATGGAAATCTTATTTGAACGCACACTTGCTGTGCAAGTTTTTAGAATTTATTCCGAAATAAGAGGGAGAAAGAGAGGAAGAGAGAGAGAGAGAGAGAGAGAGAGAGAGAGAGAGAGAGAGAGAGAGAGAGAGAGGGAGAGGAAGAAAGAAAGAGAGAGAGAGAGTTTATTTATCTTATTGCATCACGTAAAAAATTAATTACCGCTCACTTTACTTTGCATTTTACATGCGACTGTCTACTGATTACGTCGAGTACAAAACGCGAAATTAACGTATAAACGTGCAATGACATGTTATGCGCGCCATAACATTAGGCGCAATATTAGGATTATGAATCGTTGTAATTTAAGGCGACTTGCTCCGGCATATTAGTGAAGTAGAAACGATGAAAACTAAATCCCGTACAGGTACGTACGCATTGCATACTTGGCGGACGCGGGCTGCGGGAATTTTCCTCCCGCGCAATTTGCGCGGGAATGCACACTAAATGCTACCGGAGCGGAATATAGCAGCGGTTGCATTTGGGATGGTTCCCCGCGCATCGTCATCGATCATCACTTTTTTCCCGTCGCTTTTATCTTTTGTAATAGCTGCGTCGCAGCTATCAAGCGGCCTGCGATCCGCCGATGACGTTAACTCGACGTGACGCATATTTATTGGTGTCACTCGTACGAATTATAGCGAGATGAATCGCGCTAGTACACACACGAAGAGAATACTGTAGTTTTCTTTCTTATAAATACTTTTCAGTTTTACTTTATTTCTAGGAGTTCATGAATAGAAATTGCCAGTAGGATCTATCTTGATTCTAAGGCCCATAGTAAATTTTACTGGGTACATAGTAGATTTCGTTACATTAAGAAAAAAATGTTTGATATTCGTAACTGTAATCACATAGAGAAATAATTACTATAAATTATGATAAAAGAACTATTTTTTTAAATTAAATCCTACTATAATAGTTGCAATAATTATTTGATATGGATATTGTTACTCTCTCATTAATTCTCATTTATTTTGTTATTCTCCTATTTTACTACAAAAATATAAAAAACAACTATAATTTTAATTAGATCAACTATTTTTTTCCTAACGTAGAAACAGCAAAACGTTTTAATTATAACAATTAATAACAATTCAGTTTCTAAAATATATAAATAGCACATATAAAGTGAAAAGAGAGAGAGAGATAATGAATTACTGCAGAATATCGATCTATTCTTCAGTTAAAAAATCTTCTAGTAATTTTTGCTATGTAATTCTGCCCGTGTAGAAAATCGCACATTCGCGAAATTTACCACATGGAATGAACGGGCTTCTCGTCGGATTTATGTATTCCCCTTTGCGCAGTGGTAAATTTTTCTCCTCGCGCGATTCGCTTTTCGACGACGACGAGCGCGATTTTCACGGATTGCCGTTGTCGCCACGCGGCACGCGATAACAAACGTTATCGTTGCCTTGATTTCCGCCGTCGTCGTTTTCTGTACATACGATGTAATTGTAGCTGCACGCGCGCATTAGTATTATCGTCATGCGCCGCATCGGTTTCTCATTGAATTTCCGAACGGCACTCGCGTCCAATACTATGAAATTGTTGCATATGACATGTCTGAAAGCTCGTAATTTCGCGAGACAACTTTCTATCTGTTCCTCTCTTAATTCATTTATATGTTTTCTTATTTTTTTCTGAATCTTTTCTAAACAGATGTTATACTTATTAAAACGGATTTAGAAGCTAAATTTTACCGACAAGATACTTATTTACTTACTTTTTTTTGCAAAATTTACGTCGTATTGGAGACATGAAATTATAAATGCTTTCATACTATGAAAGTACACGTAAAATTAAATTGTGCAATATGTAACGAAAATGAGAAAAATTTTTTAAATTAACATTTCTCAAACCATCAGTTAACATAAATATTTGCTTGATACAAAAACTTATACATACTGAACATATATTTGTTCAGCTTAAAAAATTTGCTTCTTACATCATCAATCAAAAGTTTAATAGCGGCAATCAGGAGCCGTAACGACATAACAAAACGAAGAAAGCAAAGTGAAAAGAAACTCGTTTCGGCGTGCTTTAATTGAGTTTCGTTAATTCGCGGTTGCCTTCGGTAAGAAGCAAGATAAGCAGCTATCGATGTAACTTAAATTCAATTAAAACGTCGCTCGTCCGGTAGGATTAAATTTACTTAAACGTAAGCGACTGTATCGGCAAGAGGAAGGATACAAAATGGATCTTAGCGATTTGAGACCTCCGATTGCGAAGTTAGAGGAGTATTCATGCGGATTGAATTTCTATCGATTTTATTTAATTCGCGTTTTGCGCGTTTTCCGCCGCACGGGAATTGTAAAATGCACGCGATGTCGTGAACCAAGCTAGAGAGAAAAAGAGGGAGAGAGAGGGAGGAAGAAAGAGAGAGGAAGAGAGAGACCAATTGCGAGTCGAAACGTGAACGGAAATCTACGGCCAATATGTACAAAACGATTCATTTGGCATATTTACGCGCTCGCACAAGTGCTTCACGTCTTGGCAGTATGGAAAAAGCAATTCCCCAATATATGAAGTTTAATATTCACCCAAATGTTCATTCAATGTAGGAACAATCCCGATGGGACGATCATTCTGCATTCGCGAGTTCTCTATAAAAAATATTTTTCCTTTTCTCTTTTTAACGTTTTGTCGTCGATTTTCTCGCACAGTTTACGCAAATTACAATTTCCTTGAAAAATTTCGCGCCACAATTAAGGTTTAAGTACTTTTTCCTCATTAGAGGGAATCTTGAAAGACATTTCAACCTTTATCTTTATTTCAGCCGACATCGATCTCGATTACTTTGTCTGTCACCCTTCGAAGCCTCGCGATAACTTCAATCATTCCGACAATACAGCATCCCAGAATACTGTCCTGAATATTGATTATTAGATAAAAGACGTTGTAATAGCGTTTGTCGTTAATGATTTACTCAGACATGAATTTCTTGCGAATTTAGAGTCGAGCGTTGATTTTGCAGGAGTCTGGAAAGTACGGAAATTCTTACGTGATTTTTATTGAATTCAACTCAATTCAATTCTTTGATTAATTTGACTAAATATATAATAACGAATCTAATTAAACGTGTTTTGCGACGATCTATTTCTAATTATTATTCCTTTTTTTTATTAAATGCGTCTGTTTAAAAAGCCAGTGATAACGAGATCGACGAGAAACGTAGCCTTAATTGGACGAGCGGCTTTAAAAGACGATTATACAGAGAAAGTTTACTCGTCAATAGCCGGCTTAAGTGTATCCGCGGTGAGTAATCAGGTCAGCCATAATTATATGTGGACAGTAACAAGTTTGTTGCATTTATGGAATTATACAGTGCTCTTCCTCAAATAATTTCCGAACATCAACAAATCGTCAGATTTATCAGGTTTATAACAGGTTTATCCCTTTGATAAAGTAACAAAAGCGACCATTTCATTTCTCGCTGAATTTTTTTTGTTTGTAAAATTATATGTATAACTTAAGTTTTTCAGTACGTTTCACTCATTGTCCTTTCGTTAGAAACACAGCAATATATTTCAATAACATATTTTATTTCCTAAAATTTAAATAGCGCGTATGAAATGAAAGGATAATGAATATCTGCAGAATGGCCATTCTGTTCCTCAGTTACAAAATCCTATATTAATTTTTGCTGTAAAATTCTCTCCGTGAAGAAACGCTCATGTCTCTTTTGTAGTTTATGCAAGACATAAATTTCTATGCGATCCTTGTGGAATCGCCGATTCGTTTATTATTGAGCCACCGGTAGATCGTTAGGAATCCCGTGTATCACGCCATTGGCACTGAAATCAGTCCCTGCGGAAAATTCCGTTCATGGCACTTATATCGCTTATCGCGAGCACTCTTCGACCGAGGGAATATTACGGCTATTACGGGAGTATTACTCAGACACACTCACTTGGCGGATACTCGATGTAATTAACGGTGGTGTAAGCGGCGAAGGGCAGGGCGAAGATGAGTGCCAGTAGCCAAGCGCCCAGAATGAATCGTACAGGTCGTTTCAGGCCGCTCATCGCATACAAATGTAGGGGATGGCATATCGCTAGGTACCTCTCCAACGAGAACACCACTATCGTTAACACCGACACATAAGAAGACCTTGAAAAGAAATATACGAACTAATCTTATCGCGTGATTGACGCGAGACGCATTCGTTCGCCAAGTTTATTAGTATCTCGGAAACGATAGCATGATCAGTAGCAAATCTCGCAACATGTCCCACAATGCAAGTCTTTGTTCTCGTTTCCCGTAATTCCGTGGATTCTTGTGTGGGATTCGCAAGTTTTTGAAACGTATCTCTAAATTCTACCGTCACACTTTCAGCTTCCCTTTCGTGACAATGTAAACGCAGGAAGCTTCCCCTCCTCTCTTCCACCGGAAGGAATCCTTCCAAAGCGAGTTCGTGTTTTTTACAAGCCTAATTGCGGTGCATCAAGCTCTCGTTATCTCCTTCCTCAATCATTACTTATATCTGCGGGACGGAGCTCTTGCACGTAACCCAAATGCAAAGTAATGAAATGCGTTTCGGAAGTAACTACTATTATTAACAGCTTTTTGAGACTTCTTTATGTAGTATGCTAATTCATTCCAGGATTACTTTAGCAGGCATTTATATGTATGTATTTGCTTTTCCTTTTGTAAATTTCCCCATATTTCTGAGCTTAATTGTTTTACGATGAGATACGAGGTATCTTATAACTATTAAGTGCTTGCAGAAGTTTGTAAAGTCACAAATAAACGTCTATAACGACTAATTGTTTTCCTTTAAGTTGCTTTTTAGTTTTTAAATGTTGGCTATATTTGATCAAAAGTGATGGTTGACATTCATAGTTCTGAACAAAACATTCATAGTTCTGACAAGTCATCCTTCTTCATGACAACGTCAGGTTGCATATTGCTATTGTGACTAAACAGACGCTGTTCTAGTTAGATTGAGAAGTCCTGCTGTACCCAACGTACTCTCCAAACATCGTCCCACTTGATTTTTATCTATTCAGATTAACGTAGCACGTTCTATCTGATATACGCTTCTGTAGTGCTGAGTAAGTGCGAAAGTGGGTCGAATGAATGAATTGCCTGGAAAGATGAGTCATTTCATCGGCGCGGGATCAAACTATTTTACTCTAAAGATCGCAAAATGTTACTGATAGCAACTGCCAATACTTTGAAAGTATTGTATGTCATCTCATTGCTATTGATAAAGAAAAATGGCTTTAGTTTCATACGAACTTTTGCAAGCATCTAATAATATATCCATCCGTAATTTGCATTACCAAAACATAAAGTATGAAATGTAATTCGTGCGCCACAAAGACACCAAGACAGAAGTACAAAGACACCAATTTAGACATATAGCTTCAATCCAAAATTCTAAATTACGAATTATTCAGCGTGTTAAGATTACGAATTATCTAACGTTAAGTTTGAGATCTGCGCTATATTAAATTGATAATCTCATTTCTCCGCTTTCATGCGTCCCGTTGCGTTTTGTTTATTTAATAATATCTCCTCAAGCTGAACTCACATCTCTGAGACGTACGCTCGTATTTTACATAAACCCACTCCGAACTTCCATGGATACTGCTGCCAAAACACGCTCAATTCATTCGGCAGTCCTGTAAGGAGAGAGAGAGAGAAAATATTAATTACATATCGCGGATTATTTGATTCCTGTCAAAACTGATTCAACTACTGCGCATGTTGACCGTGACAAGGGCGTATCGAACATACAAAAGAAATTATTATCGAGAAGGGACTGTTCAATGTTTCATTTATATCCCCTCGGTACTCATCTCGAGGTCACGATTTTACAAAATGCGACGTCGCGTTTGCAGTGAAGCTCGCACACAAACATAGTTGAAAAGAGCCAGCGAAATAATTGATTGCACAACGTTCGACGTCGCGTCTGCCTTATGCACTTTTCTCTGGAGTATATTAATTACGTTCGCCGAGGTTACAAAGAGCGCGCGGACTACCCGCAAGTCGCAAACGGAGAGCTGCAGAGCGACGTGCAAGTAAAGCGCTCGAGTGACATTGGATTACTCGTCAAAGAGCAGCTTGGACAGGTATAATTATAAGTGATGACGATGAAACGCGTAAACGAAGTAACGAAACATGAACGTAGAGGGGAAATCAGAGATCCGATTGTTACGGTGTTACGTGTACGCGAAGGATATACTTTTTATCGTCGATTACTAATTGCCGCGTATGACATCAGAATAGAAATCGACATTACAGTTTGTGCCTCGAAGGAACACGCCGACACATAAATCACTTTCATCGACCGAAATTTATGACCGCGCTGACTTTCGACGTGCGGATGTAAAGTTTTGGATATTCTTCAGGGAAGAATTTCCATTTTAGGTTACATTTATCTCGTAATAGATTTATATCGGTGCGTGGCAACTGTCAAAATCTCGCAGTAAAATGTATGTGAGAAATAGAGTTTGTGCCGATTTAAAGGCGAGCGGATTTATTTGTCATCTTTTCATTGTTATTATCAATATCGTCGCTCTGTAAAGCGCTTCCGAGAAAAACAAGGCAAAAAGATTACAATCTGAATGCCGTAGGGGGTAGAAGCCCCGCTTTTTCTCGCACGACAACAGCCGAACGAATGAATTTCCGATATTAATCGTGTTTACACAAGCAGCGGTGCAGCGATTACCCGTCGCCGCAAATTATTTCATAAACTGGCTACGCTCTTATTTATGCGCTCGACGGTATAGCGCGCATGCAAATACTTCTTATACTTTCTTTTCACGCTTGCCAACCACTAAACGACATCTTTAAACTTACGTTAGTTTACCGTCGTAAGCCTTAGGTTGCTGATTATTGCACCTTTTCAATCTCGCGTGCAATATATATGTCATCATTTTTAAATAAAATTTAATCTTGAATTTAACTTATACAAAAGAAAATTATGGAAAAACTCTCTGTTGCCATTCAATCCATTCTAAAAGTACATAAAGTAGAGCATCTTTCACTTTATTTCCACATCGATTTTTTCTTTTTCATTATACATATTAATCTTGGCTTCTCGGATATATTGACAGAGAATATATGTAAAATCAATAGGTCGTATAGAATGACCTAATACCATGGATTACTGTGCATGTTGAGACATACGGTAATTCGTTCATTTTCGTCGGGATATAAATTTTCGAAGCTGAACTGTGCGAGCAGCGCGAAATAGTACCTATTTAATATGCATTGTTTAACGCTGTTAGCTCGATTTCTTGTTTGCTTCGCACATTAATATCCCTTATATATTTACAGATCGTAAAGATATAAAACGCGCTCATGAATCATGCAAGACACACATACATAGCGCGCGGAGGTGCCGTTTTATTTAACCATTTGCTCCGATGCCTATATCGACTGTCGCTAAAACGCATCCAGCATCGTAAAGCTGCGGAACGATTTGACGGCAAAAGTATTGGTTTCCAGCCACCCCAGCCGATATCGTGGCATCGAGGCTTCAGTCGAATTCTACACGGAGAGAATTTTACAGTAAAAGATACTATAGAATTTCGTGACTCAGTTTTCTAATAGATCGACATTTTGCAGTGATTCTCTATTCTTTCATTTTATATGCGTTATTTATAAAGGAAAACATTCGATAACTTGTTACAGCACTCATCAGTTTTCGACAGGTTTGGAAACTAACTCGTTATTTGTAACGAAGTTAAAGTTACAGTTACATTTTTTCGGTAACTGTAACTTAACTTAGTTACTTTTTTCCCGCCTGTAACTGTAACTTAACTTAGCTACTTATTTTTAGTAACTTGTCACTTTTTTAACAGTTACTTTAATAGTTGCTTGGGGAAACATAAAATAAAATTAAAATTATATAGTAATCGTGTATTAATTTAATAACCCAAATAGCACAGAGAATTCAAAAAGAGTTAAAAAAGAATCCAATCGTATGTCACCAATTTTGAGTTCATTTTCGGGTACAAAAAGAATTCTTCAGAGTTTAGTTCAATGAAAAGAATTCTTTTTGCATTTAAAAATGAATTCAAAATTGGTGACATACGACTGAATTCTCTTTAAATTCTCTGTGCTATCTGGAAAATTTATCAACGTATTTATGAGGCATATGATTAAATTCTTTTACCTCTACAAGGTTATCATTAAATTTTTATTATATTAAGTACAGATTTGAAATTTATTAAGTGGATTGACTAATTAATGTGATAGATATTAATTATAAAATTCAATTCTTACATTTTAAATTATTTAAGTAAAGCTTAAAATATAAGATTTTTGTATTTACAATGATAATTTACAATCATTTCAAGAAAGTAACTTAAAAGTAACGACTCGTTACTTTTTGAGTAACTGTAACTGTAACGAGTTACTTTTCCTAACCAGTAACTTGTAACTGTAATTAGTTATATTTTCAGCAAAGGGAACTGTAACTAGTTACTTTTAAAAAGTAACTTTCCCAACCCTGGTTTTCGACATCTTTGCTCGGATTCCATCAAATATCAAAGTGTACCGGAATTTATATTAATTCGTGAATTATATTAGTTCGTGAACTATTATTTATTATTTGCACTTATTGCTTTTAATTTTATTTCTTTTAAGTCCTCATACATCTTAATACCCAGCTTGATATTCACGCAAGAAAGCCGACTACTGTCATTTTCCTTTTATTTTATTTTATTTAATCTTTCGTATACATACTTATTTTTTCAACATTCGCATATACACTGGGTGGTTGCCACCCATGGTAATTTTAAAATAACTGTATCTTTTAAAATATTTATGCTAAAATTCTGAAAAAATTCATGGATTAACTTTAATGTTTATAGAAAATCTTTACATAATTTTCATATTAAAATTTAAGAAATTTTATATTTAAAAAATTGTTATATTCCGCGATTTAAAAAAAAGTGAGTTTTTTTTAAATTTGTAACTTGTAATTTTTATTATTTTTAAGTAAAAATTTAGCATTTTATTGTTGAAATGTTTATCTTTAAGGAAAAAATTGTCTCGTAAGTCATCTCTGGAAAAAGTATATTTATTTTGAATATCAAAGTTCCATTATTTTTACTATAGACAGTTACCAGAAGCTAACTAACGCTTATTTTACTAGCAGAGTGGAATCAAAACATAGTTAAGAAACAACAATTAAATGGCGACTCTAGTTCCATTTATTGCGGTACTTAAAAGGTACAGAGCGCTGAATTTTAGTTATGGATGGTAACCACCCAGTATGTATACGAAGGGTTAATATGTTTATTAATACTTACTATATGTTTCCAGCGGAATTCACTATGCTCCTTAGCAAAATAAATCTTAACCTTTTCGCTAATAATTTTGTTTTTTAAAAGTATAATTATTTTTTAAACTTTCTTAAATACTTAACTTTCTTAAATACACTAATATAATGTAGTTTTAACAAAATGATTAAAAGTTTTATGTTTAGCGCCAAAGAGTTAGGACCGAGACACTGATGTCCCACTGGGATTTTTGGGAGCGCATATTTGTCCCAAGGGTAATAAGTAAAGTGATAGTTGATATATTCTAAATGCTAAAAAAGTTGTTTATCCAATTGAATAAAGTTGTATTATTAATAATGGGAAAAACATACATATCTCGTTAATAGCGAAAAGATTAATGACAGTCTATTCCCGACTTACTAAAAATACAGACAAATTGAAAAAAATTTATATGAAGAGAAACTGTAATATTCTTTCCGTCTAGTAAACAGCATAGGTACGATGTAAATATATTAAGGACCATTTGCGACGTATTTTTCATCGATCGGTAGTCTTTAGTCAGAGTATCGCAAAAAACGTCTGTCTTGAGTTCACAAACTCTCTCTCGTGATACATGCTACAATATTAACAAATTATTTCGTGAGAAAATAAATTCAAAATTCTAGAAATTTTTTGTTTGGTAATTAAAAGTTTCTTCTTAACTAGAACGGTCTCAAACTTTCTTTGCACACCGCACGTATTCCCTTACTCAATATTTCTTTCCTAGTTATTTAACTTTATTTTCGATCTAGAACTCTCAGTGTACTGCAAAAAACATTTTCAATTCGGGTAACTGAATGGGGACGAAAAACTCGCTGAAATGATATCTCTGTCACCGTAGTCGAGAACATTTATCTGAACGTTTAGCTGCGTTAAAACTCAGTTGAGCGATCGGTTGAATAGAAACCTTCTACCTTTATCTTATCTTTCTGTCTCTACAACCGAGTTTTTCGTCTGGTCGCTAAATAATAGAAAATTCTGTAGTTTTTTCCGTGCACACCTCGCAGTGGAGATGTTCTGATTTAGCGAGCTCCAAGAGAGTAGAAGAAAACAATCACATGCGAATAATATCATACGTATCGAATTCGCGTGGATTCTGTGCGAACATGCTCGTTTTATTAATTGCCATTCAATCAATACCCGGGATACTTCTAAACGATCGGCTAGTATCACAAGATCGCCGTAGATCGGCGATTAATCACGCGGTCCAGCGGGATTGCGTCCACGCGGAGCGGAGTCGTCCGTTTTATCCCTATACCTTGAACATCACAAAACCCATTAACTCGCGGTTAACGTCGAGTACGTGACGAATCCGCGAATCATGCCCGACAGAACGTGTTCCTGCATAG